CCCGGGCTCAAGCAACCTCCTGCCTCAGCCTCCCAAGTAGCTGGACTACAGGCATGTGCCACGATGCCCGGCTAATTTTTTTTCTATATATATTAGTTGGCCAATTAATTCTTTCTATTTATAGTAGAGACGGGGTCTCACTCTTGCTCAGCCGGGTTTCGAACTCCTGACCTCGAACAATCTGCCCGCCTCAGCCTCCCAGAGTGCTAGGATTACAGGCGTGAGCCACCGCGCCCGGCTTGCAAAGACAATCTTTAAAAATAATTTTGGTTGTGCCACTGCACTCCAGCTGGGGCGACAGGGACCTCTATCTCTAAAATTAAAAAAAAATAACTGATGATCTTTATAAATGCATTATAATTTTTTACTTCAAAATTTCATTATAAAGTCTATAAATATAATTTATTTATTTATTTATTTTTCTTTTTTTGAGACAGAGTCTCACTTTGTTGCCCAGGCTAGAGTGAGTGCTGTGGCATCAGCCTAGCTCACACAACCTCAAATCCTGGGCTCAAGCAATCCTTCTGCCTCAGCCTCCCGAGTAGCTGGACTACAGGCATGCGCCACCATGCCTGGCTATTTTTGTCTATATATATTGTTGGCCAATTAATTTCTTCTATTTTATAGTAGAAACGCGGGTCTCGCTCTTGCTCAGGTGGTTTTGGAACTCCTGACCTCGGCAATCCGCCCCCTCGGCCTCCAGATGCTAGGATTACAGGCATGAGCCACCACACCTGGCCTGTAAATATAATTTAGATGTGGGAAAATTGTTATTAAGGAAATATTTATTAAAAACATGTTTATTTTATTTATTTATATTTTTAGAGATGGAGTCTTGCTGTGTTGCCGAGGCTAGAGTGCAGTGGCATCATCATAGCTCACTACAGCCTCAAACTCCTAGGCTCACGCAATCCTTCTGCCTCAGCCTCCCAAGCTGCTGAGACTACAGGCACGTGCCACCACACCTGGCTAATTTTTCTATTTTTTGTAGAGATGAAGTTTTGCTATGTTGCCCAGGCTGGTCTCAAACTTCTGGCCTCAAGAGATCTTCCCATTTTGGCCTCCCCAAATGCTGGGATTGCAGGTATGAGCCACTGTGCCTACCTTTTATCTATTATTTATTAGTAACTGAAGAGAAATTGAGTGCTGAAGGGACAGCAGGGAGAGGAGGAGCAGGAGAGAGTCTGGACTATAGACTCCCTAGAACACTGGCTAGGACCTGAGGCATCAAAATGACACTCGTTTTGTTTTGAGAAGCACTGATTGAAGCTGATTCAATCCTCTAGAGGTTTCCTAATACTAGTGGTGAACAGGAGTCCCCACATAGATCCTGGCTGGAGGAGATGAGATTTTAGAGTCATGAAAGAAATGAGATAAACAATGCAAAATTTCAGAAGCAAAATATGAAAGCAGCTATCCTTAGCAAGGTAGTTTTATAAAAGTGGCAGGCCGGGCGCAGGTGGCTCACGCCTGTAATCCTAGCACTTTGAGCCGAGGCGGCGGATCGCTCAAGGTTGAGAGTTCGAAACCAGCCTGAGCGAGACCCGTTCTACCAAAAAGAAAGAAATTAATTGACCAACTAAAAATTATATACAAAATTAGCCGGCATGGTGGCGAATGCCTGTAGTCCCAGCTACCGGGAGCTGAGGCAGGAGGATCGCTGAGCCCAGGATGAGGTTGCGTGAGCCAGGCTGATGCCACGGCACTCACTCTAGCCTGGCAACAAAGTGAGACTCTGTCTCAAAAAAAAAAAAAAAAAAAAAAAAGTGGCAAATGGCCAAGGTCATCCGGCTCATGCCTGTAATCTCAGCATTTTGGGAGGTTAAGGTAAGAGGATTGCTTTAGGCCAGGAGTTTGAGACTAGCTGGGCAAAATAGTGAGACCCCATCTCTACCAAAAAAAAAGTGGCAAAGGACACTGATGCACAGCTCATTTATTTGTCAGTATTGACATAGTATGTGGTAGATAGTTGATACTAATTAATTGAATGTTGATTGATTAATAATGAGCATGGGCCAGCTGGGGTGGCTCATGCCTATAATCCTTGCACTCTGGGAGGCCAAGGCAGGAGGACAACTAAAAATAGAAAACAAAAATTACCATGAGTACATCAGCTCTAAAACAACAGTGATATAGCACATCTTTATTTTCCTGGTTAGAGCTGGAACCCATACTACTAAGTGAAGTATCCCAGAAATGGAAAAACAAGCACCACTATATACTCACCACAAACTGGTATTAACTGACAGACCTAAGTGGACACATAGGTACTACAGTAATAGGTTATTGGGCAGGTGGGGGGGGAGGCGTATATACATACATAATGAGTGAGATGTGCACCATGTGGGGATGGTCATGCTGGAGACTCAGACTTGTGGGGAGGGGGGGAAAGGGCATTTACTGAAACCTTAACTTGTACCCCCATATATGCTGAAATAAAAAGAAAAAAAAAGAAAAATAGCCGGTGTGGTGCACACACTGTAGTCCCAGCCACTCAGGAGCTGAGGCAGGTGGATTGCTGAGCCCGGGAGTTTGAGGTTGCTGTGAACTAGGCTGACGCCATGGCACTCACTCTAGCCTGGGCAACAGAGCGAGATTCTTTTTTTTTTTTTTTTTTTAAATAAGCATGAAGAAGAGAAACGTAACTAGATTCAGATATTAAACTATATCTCTGCAGAGCGGAAAACATTTAGAAATTATCTACAAGAGTGTAGACATATATAAAATAAAAGAAACTGGATATTGAAAAGTATGAAAAATACCCAGTTTAAATGCTGCAAGCTCTTCAATCTGCACTTACTACAAACATTTTTTAATATTATGTATAGCTTTACTGAGATGAAATTCACATGCCATACAATGCACCTGTTTAAAGAATGGGTTTTAGTTTATTCAAAGATTTGAACCACAATGATCTAACTTAAGAACATCTATTATGCCCTCCCAAAGAAACTAGACCATGAGCAGTCATTCCCTTTTCTCCCCACCACCCCTACCCCACACCCAGCCCTAGGCAACCACTAAGCTATTATGTCTCTACAGTTTACCTACTCTGGACCTTTCATATAAATGAAATCATATACTGTGATACAGGCAAGGCATTCATTTGATTGACAGCCACACTTGCAATTAATCTCAAACATTTCAAATGCAAATGTTTTTAATTACTTACATAAAGAAGCAATCAAGCCATCAGAATTTGCAATGTTTCCTACCAAAGACAAGTAGACGAAAGGGCCTTCCTAGAGAGAAGAAAATGAAGACATGCTCTTATTTAGCAACACGACCACAGGATGGCACTGCAGACACATGGCATTGCATGGCAAAACCCCCTGCCCCCCACGCCCAGGTGTCCACATCGGGTCAACAGCCCGGGAGTACCACACCCTTGTGGGGTGCAACCCTGGAGCTTGGCTACTTGGGCCTTGGAGATGGATAAGTCGAACGTTAATGTAGTAATTAATGTTATTTTAAATGATTGGCATTATAAAAGCAGAGATGTGTTCTTATGTGGAAAAAATAAGTAAAAATTTTACACAAGGAGAAGAGTTTAACTGTTGTATTAAATAAATTTCTGGATCATTCCAGGGATCTTAAATATTTGAGAAGAAGCTCACAGCAGTTCATTTCTTTTTAACCTCAAAAAAAAAAATCCAAGATATCTCTTAACAAAAATGGCAATCGATCGTCTATACCAGAGTTGAGTTACCCCCTCCCCCATAAGGGCAATTTCAGGAACATTTAAAATGGTTACAGCCTACATTTTAACATTTAGGTAATAAGATATCTGCAATTACATGTAACATTTTCCCATCACTGAAGTGTTTCTTTACCTAAGATGTCAAAAACTAGACAACTAGAAACCACTGGGATGTCTCATTGTCATGTCGCTCCTTTGAATAAATTTTGTTGTTGGTCAATACAGCTTTTTCCTCATTCATTTTTTTTGAGAAAGGACCTTGTTCTGTTGCCCAGGCAGGAGTACATTGGTGAGATTATAGCTCACTTGCAGCCTTGAATTCCTGGGCTCAAGTGATCCTCCTGACTACCTGGAACTACAGGTGTGTACCACCAAGCCTGGCTAATTTTTCAGGTTTTTTTAGAGATGGGATTTTGCCATGTTGCCCAGGCTGGTCATAAACTCTTGGCCTTAAGTGATCTTCCCACCTTGGTTTTCCATGGGAGGACAGGTGTGTGCCACTGCCCAGCTTTTTTTTTTTTTTAACCAAAGCAATCTCCTATATGCTATTAAACGTATGTCTCCACCTCCCCTCTGCTCACTTCCAGTACCCCTTCCCAGAGGTTACCACTCTTAACCACGTCTGCTTGTAATTCTGGGGATTACCTTCCTAACTCACACTGCTATTGCTTTAGACTACTCAGCCTGAAAAGTTATTTAGTTGATACCACTTCCCCTCCCCTTTCCAGTCCTTCCAGGTTTTTTGACAGCTACATTATTCTTCTATTAGTTATCCACATTTGTAACTTAAATAATAAACTGAACACCTCAGCTCACTCACTCACCAACGCCGTGCATCTGGACGTCTTACCATAAAAGAGCCCGAGAGCCCCCTCGGTGCTCCCCTCCCCCCACTTCCAACTCCCAACTGTCCACTTTGCTTGTTGAGAACATTACATTTCCATTCCTCTTCTGAAAACATATTTGTCTTCCCTGTTTTATCTGCAAGTGGATTCTAAAAACTGACAAGTCAATTAACAGCACTTACAATATTGTGACTGTGGAAACATTGTTCGCTTCCATGGGCCACAATGTCTTTCTCTATGCATCCAGTATCTTGACTACTGTGTCACTTCAAGAGCATGTTGCAAATGGGCCGGGCGTGGCTGCTCACGCCTGTAATCCTAGCACTCTGGGAGGTGGAGGCAGGGATTGGATCGCTCAAGATCAGGAGTTCGAGACCAGCCTGAGCAAGAGCAAGACCCCGTCTCTACTAAAAATAGAAAGAAATTAATTGTCCAACTAAAAATATATAGAAAAATTTACATATATAGAAAATATATAGAAAAATGACACACGCCTGTAGTCCCAGCTACTTGGAAGGCTGAAGCAGAAGGATTGCCTGAACCTAGGAGTGTGAGCTTGCTGTGAGCTAGGCTGATGCCAGGGCACTCTAGCCCAGGGAACAGAGTGAGACTCTGACTCAAAAAATATATATATATAGAGAGAGATATAGATATAAAAATATATAAAGAGCATGTTGCAAATGGAATATTCTTTCTTACTTCAAGAATTTCTCCAGATCATGCTATATTTTAGTGTGATTCATATTTGGGCCATGACTTTCTTATATTTTTGTTTATCCTATAGTTTATAATCACCTTTCTTTTTTGTTGTTGTTGTCTGATTGAGAGAAGAAACCTCACTTTCTCTCCATCTCTGCACCATGTGGGGGATGGTCATGCTGGAGACTCAGACTTGTGGGGGAGGGGGGAGAAAGGGCATTTACTGAAACCTTAAACTCTGTACCCCCATAATATGCTGAAATAAAAAGAAAAAAAAAAAAGAAAAAAAATTAGCCGGGTGTGGTGGCACACACCTGTAGTCCCAGCCACTCAGGAGGCTGAGGCAGGTGGATTGCCTGAGCCCGGGAGTTTGAGGTTGCTGTGAGCTAGGCTGATGCCATGGCACTCACTCTAGCCTGGGCAACAGAGCGAGATTCTTTTTTTTTTTTTTTTTTTTAAATAAGCATGAAGAAGAGAAAACGTAACTAGATTCAGATATTAACTATATCTCTGCAGAGCAGGAAACACTTTAGAAATTATCTACAAGAGTGTAGACATATATAAAATAAAAAGAAACTGGATATTAAAAAGTATGAAAAATACCCAGTTTAAATGCTGCAAGCTCTTCAATCTGCACTTACTACAAACATTTTTATAGCTTTACTGAGATGAAATTCACATGCCATACAATGCACCTGTTTAAAGAATGGGTTTTAGTATATTCAAAGGTTTGAACCACAATGATCTAACTTAAGAACATTCTATTATGCCCTCCCAAAGAAACTTAGACCCATGGGCAGTCATTCCCCTTTTCTCCCCACCACCCCTACCCCACACCCAGCCCTAGGCAACCACTAAGCTATTATGTCTCTACAGATTTACCTACTCTGGACCTTTCATATAAATGAAATCATATAACATGTGATACAGGCATTCATTTGATTGACAGCCACACTTGCAATTAATCTCAAACATTTCAAATGCAAATGTTTTTAATTACTTACATAAAGAAGCAATCAAGCCATCAGAATTTGCAATGTTTCCTACCAAAGACAAGTAGACAAAAGGGCCTTCCTAGAGAGAAGAAAATGAAGACATGCTCTTATTTAGCAACACGACCACAGGATGGCACTGCAGACACATGGCATTGCATGGCAAAACCCCCCTGCCCCCCACGCCCAGGTGTCCACATCGGGTCAACAGCCCGGAGTACCACACCCTTGTGGGGTGCAACCCTGGAGCTTGGCTACTTGGCCTTGGAGATGGATAAGTCCAACGTTAATGTAGTAATTAATGTTATTTTAAATGATTGGCATTATAAAAGCAGAGATGTGTTCTTATGTGGAAAAAATAAGTAAAAATTTTACACAAGGAGAAGAGTTTAACTGTTGTATTAAATAAATTTCTGGATCATTCCAGGGATCTTAAATATTGAGAAAAGCTCACAGCAGTTCATTTCTTTTTAACCTCAAAAAAAAAAAATCCAAGATATCTCTTAACAAAATGGCAATCGA